AATAATAAATATCTTGTTGGAAGAAACAAAGAAATTGGTAATTCATTCATCTCTGCACATTTATTCAATTTCAGAACTGACTGTAATTATATTTGACTTTTTTTAATAAATAATAGATCTAAGTTTCGATTCGCTATTCATATACATTCTATTATATTATTACTTGTAGAATGAATTCTACCCCATAAATAATTCAGTCATCATAGGATACAAAATTATATACAAACATAAATATACCGAAACATTCTAAACAAGGAGCCATTTATATAGGTAAAATATTCAAAAATTCCTTTTCGACTCCAAAGGTGGACAAACCAGTTGAGTGTGAACTCGCAGAAGCTAGATGATTAAATAAGAAACGAGCGCAATTTGATTCGATTTTTTCAGTTCCTACTATTAGTTCACTCTCTCCCTATATATATCTGTTCTCTCAAATTTTCAATCGTTAATAAAATATTTTCTATTCATCCATTCAAATTCAAATGCATTTTTTTAAACTTGTAGTGGATGTGACACTCGATGTTAATACAGTATTTTCAAACATAATTCATGAATTACATTAAAAAATGAATAAATGGTAACAAACAAAAATAACAGTCCAACAGCATATATAGAAAGAAAAATCGTTCGGTGTGTCCCTGAAGCGCAATAGATAGCGCGTTAGACTTCTAATCCAAAGGTCGTGGTTTCGAGTCCCAACCTGGGATGCCTTAATTTCTGAGAATGTGGTTTCTTTTTAGTTTACTGTTTTATTGGAATAATTAAATTTAATGAATGAATAAGTAGTAACAAACAAACAAACAAAAAATAGTCCAATACCCTATATAGAAAGGAAAATGGAAAATTGCAAGGAAATTCACTTTCTATTTTATCACTTAATAGTGTGCGATTTTGTCATATGCATATGCATATTAATTGTAATTACTTAGTAAAAAGTGACTAAAATAAAAATTTTCTTTGTTGAACAAAGTAGGAATTGACTTAATTATTTTTTTATAGTACTTGGTTTTATATAAAAAGCTCTTCTCCAAATTTCACACACCGATAATTGACGATGACTTTTAACCAAAAAATATGCGAAAAATAATCACATGAATAAAACCACAAAACATATAATTGGACGGAAAAAAAATAAAGTTAATATTTCAATTCCAAAGGAAATTTTTTAATCATCATTCCAAATCCGAATAATACAGCTACAAAAAGTTTCGTGATTAATTTGACAAATATCAAAGTTATTTAGCGTTGGAGTCGAATTATGAATAGTTTTTGAAAAATTGTAAAAAATGTATAGACATTTTTAATTAATGGAAGAAATTTCAGAGAGGATGTAGCATACTGAAAATGTGTATAAAAATAAGTCACAAGCTTAAAAATTCGGAAAGTTCCCGGAAGCGAAAGTTTGGAAACAGAAAAAATTCCCTTATATATTACACTTGTGATGGATCTATACGCGTTCCTTCAATTAATCCTCTTGGGAAATCTTTGGGCTATCAATGCGCGTTATTCACAACTAACCCTTCGGAAGAAGAGAATCATGATATTTAAATTAACTTACTATATATAGTCATTTTCTAGCTTGAATAGAGAGTAGGACAGGAGTTATTGAGAATTGTTGTAATTAAGAACTCATAAGGAGGAAGTTTTAAAGTGACGATTGTTCACTGTGATTAAATTGATATTAGATTGAATTGGAGGATAGGTTAGATTAGGGATAATCAACCCTTTTTTCTGCTGGGCAGCATACACATGCCAACTATTTCACGCGAGCCGCATACATATTTCAACTATTTCACACGGGCCGCATTAATATGTTAACTAGTTCCCGCGGGCCGCAACATGTAGATAAAAGAGAGAAGGGAGAAATGCTTTAAGACCAAGACAACATTGGAAATTTAAAATGTGGAAAATTGTGATCAAAATATTATAACTCTTGTATTGCTCTTTTTAATAATTATTTTTTATATTTTTTTTATTTTTGTCACTAACCCTAAATTAGAAACATACAACATTTACGATTCACTTTTTCACAATTTCTGCATCAGTAAACGGTTTCGTATGAATACGAATAACATAACAAAGATCATAGTATGTCCTTGTTATCACTGACATTTCCACTTACAAAACACTTTGTTGCTGTTGCAAAGATTATTCAAGAAAGCATATTTATCACCTCTTGAAAGAGATCTTTGAGAAAAATGTCATTATAAATGATTTCTGTGTTATGGTATTTTTTTAAATACAGCACTTTCGTGGCAAATCAAACACTGCTCTATGTTTGCTATTCACTACAAAATAGTCAACATCCTTGAACTAAGTCTTGAAGCGATATATTTTCTTCGAACATTTTTAGCTTGCAAGACATGAAAGATAGTTAAAAATTATTTTCACCCATAAAATTGTCGCTACTCCATTGTTGTCTGCTATCACTAACCATAATCATTACAAACAGAAAAAGAATGTTAATTCTCCCCGTACGCGACATCGACAGCAAAATTGATATATTTGATTTCTAGACAAAGAATTTCGCACCAAATTTTCAATACTTTTTTCTTAAATCAGTGAGTTTTTCAACATATGAAATCAGCCTATTTCTCTCAGAGCAATAGGCCATGAACGGGCCACTTAAAAATACTCGGTGGGCCGCAGGTTGAGTATCGTTCTGTTAGATCCGTCATAAAGTAAGGATCAAGTTTGATAGTCTCCTAATTGTTTGCATTTTACCGTCGTTGTTCCACTTTCGCGGTTAACATTGAGACATTCTCTTACCATTATTGAAATTGTGTCTGTTCTTTGTGTGATAAACAAACAGATTAACTGGATCATGTCGAGAGTTGCTTCTCTACCTTTCACACATCTGGGTGCCCGCGAGAGAGGTTCAAGCCTCTCACACACTTCAATTTTCTTCGCTGATGACTTTTCTTTAAAAATATTTATTTCTAAAAATGGTTAATTTGACAAAATATTAAAACACTTTTTACATATAAACATATTAAATAGAAGGAAATAGTAAGAATCAATTATATTAAAGAGCTGGAGAGTATATATATGACCAGTGGCGAAAACAAAATTTTTTTAAAGGGAGGGAGGGGAACCGGGGTGAAAGTCCATCATTCTTGTATCATGCTTCAATACGCCGCCAACGCTTCTTTTGATTTTGACGATTTGGGGAACAAAAAAATAAGAAATAAACTATAGAATTATCAATTAGCATTTTTTAATAATATAAATTGTTAATAACAAATACTTAATTATAAATTCTTTTGTGCTACAAGGGGTGATCAAATGAAAAGGTACGAAACGACATAAAAATGAAACAGTTAAATATTTGCATATTCCGCCACGGGAGAATGTAGCGAGACATCTCGGGATGCCATTGGAAGCTCTGACTGGGATTGGATCATGCGCGGGAAAGAGTACAGGCTCTTATAAAAAGCGGCGTCCAAATGATGCGGCAGTCCGTATGAGGACAGGATGGCATTCGCGTTACAAAATTCGACGATTGAGGAGCAGCGAAGTGTTATCCGATTTCTGACAGAGGAAGGTGAGAAACCGACAGCTATTCATCGACGGATGGTGACCGTTTACGGGGAGAAATGTGTCTTTGACAAGTCTATCAGAAAATAGAGTGCCCGTTTTCGTGCAGGCCGTGAGAGTGTGGGGGATGACCAGAGACCAGGCCAGACAAACACTGTCATCATGAGCGATCTCATCGACAAGGTGGACGACTACTGAAGAAATACCTGAAAGGGAAGCGCTTCAACTCGGACGACGTACTCAAGGACACTGGGAAGGACTGGGTCTCGTCACGGCCACAGGAATTCTGGGAACAAGGAATCCTGCGGCTTGTTCATCAGTGGGATGATTGAGCTCAGGCCTATGGTGTATATTTTGAATAAAGTCTACATTTGTACCCTCAGTGTCGTTTCGTACCTTTTCATTTGTGTGTGTGTGTGATCACCCCTTGTACATACAGAGGATTATCATCAATAAAAAAATCAGGAGCTAAAAGGGTGGGCCGGACTTGTGGACCACTCCCTACCCCTTGTGTGTGCCACTGTATATGACGCTTTTGTTTGCGAAATTTTCATATAATCATAAATCATTATTTTCCCTAGAACTTTCAAAATAATAATAAATAAATAAACTAAATTAAGTCTATTCATAATTTTATATGTTTATGTTTGTAAATACATATATACATATATATTCATGTAATGGTGTCGAATGGTGGTTTTACGTAGTTCATTCTCCGGGTTGCTGTAGTGATGAGATTTTTTTTTCAAAGAAACATCTTCTTAATTTACATCCAGCTTTTATTCATGGTGACACACAAACATATCTGGACAGCACAACTCAGAAAACAAAAATCACACAGCACAAAAATACACGAGGGATTTACATATTGACAAAGACAAAGACAGAGTTAAAAACATGTTATTTTTAAATAAAATCAATAATAATTATATAAAATAATGATACATATAAATTCCAAAATTAATACTTATTTATATAATGAGGCAAAAAATGCAAACAATATATAATAAATTAATTATTTATTTTTAAAATAAGATTTTAGAAAGCATAAGCAATTTTTTTTATACTATTATTACTCAACCTAGTTCTTAGCTTTGTGATGAACAATCCGGCAGCAGAAAATGCTCTCTCGGCTTCAACTGACGTAGGAGGAATTGTTTTTAAAGCCTCGCATAGATGTGGATGGATTATCATTCGAGTCGAATAACTGCATTTCCTGCCTCGTGATTTTGTTTAAACTAGTACTTTTTTTTTGTTTGAACAATATAAAACTTTTGTTTTAGAGTAAATTGCTTTCTCTTATTTTTCGTCCAATTTTAGAGGTTTTTCTTTCAATATCTCTATGTTCTTTTCTTCTGAGTGTGAAGAGTTGGATATTGATTCCCTTTCTTCGTAGAAAAACCTTGTCCCTATATATACTGTTTGAGCTTGTCTAACCAAACAATTTTTACTAGGCAATCGCGAAATATCTACAGAAACTGCAGCTGATTCGTATTTTCTCCCCAAATTCAGCTATTACATTAATCATATTAAATTAATGTTGCGTCTCTCATTAATTCTTTGGATTAGAGAATATTTTATTTTTTTTCAAAGTCTGAATTTTGTTCGTTCAATTCTCCAATAAAGAAAGAAAATACACCTTCTTCAGTCCCCAAAGTTGCATTTCAACTGCATAATTTTTCTAAGCCAATTTTTACTGTCTTTATTAGGCCTGCTGCAATTGTAGTCACAGTTTCAAACTCTACATTGGTCATCATTTGTTCTTTAATGTCAATTAATGCTTTTTAAAATTGCTGGCTTCATTTCTAAAAATCTTTCAAGCATTGCCAACAAACTTTTGAAGCCTCGTGTGAATCCCAGGAAATCGCGGAAATGAATTATACTTCCCGGGAATAGAAAAAGTACAGAAATCTGATAGTTTCCTGGATTCCCAGGAAAGAGAAACCTACTACCGACGTACTTGGCCCATTCCTCCCAGGAACACTTTCCCGCTACGTTGAGCCAGCAATGCAGCACTATGAGAGGAAAAGTCCTTAAAAGTAGGTAAGTATATTTTCTCTTCATTAAATTATTCACTGGGTCTACGAATTTTATTGTTTACAATAAAAAATAATTATAAGAAAATGATTGGGGTAACTCAGTTACCCCACGCGAGACCACTAACATTACTA